TTGCACATTTTGATCTCGTTCACTTTCTGTCCAAAATTGTGCATTAAATCGCATGTTTTTACACAGCATGCATAGATCGGTTCAAGGTGATAAAAAGCGAATTTCTGGTATATATTTTTTCCAAATTCGTACAAAAGACCATCGACTAACATGTAAATCAGATGTTTCATCTAAACTTGATTGATAGAGACGATATAGTCCAACGTAGCTTTCACTTGCAAGAAGAAATATAATAGCCATAGTATCTTCAAGAAAATAACGGCCTAATAAAATTTTTATTTATATATATTTTATTAATTAAAAAAGAAAAAAAAAAAAAGTATTCATCGTGTTAAAGCAATTTTAAAGTTTGCTCTTTATTATTAAAAAAAAAAGATTGATCTAATTAATATCACTATATTGTACCTGGTGATAGTAATCCATGACAATTTGCAAAATTAACAATAAATATAAGAACATTTAAAATAGTTGCAAATGATAATGCGTGAGATGATTTTCTTCCTATTAGTGCGTGTACAATTTGTTTAATACTATTGACCTGGTAATAATTACGAATATTTCTCCATTTTTATCTAATAGTGAATATACAGTTCAAAAAGCTATTTCGCAAATTTCATCATTATTAAAAGTATATTTAACTGTTAAGTATTGTTTTCCTTTGCCATGTAAAGTCTCATTAGAACGAGTCATTGTATGAAGCATTCCTAAGAGAAACATATTATACTCTGTTTTTGATAATTTTCGAATAATATCAAAATTTTGAAATGCTGATTCATGATCAATTTTATTTAAGCACATTTTAGAATTATAGCAAACTAAGGTACGAAGTTTCAAAAAAAAAGCCTCCTTTTCCTGCTGATCTAAACGCGTCATCACTTTCTCATCAGTTTCTTGCTCATCATCACCTTCTTTAATAGTATGTTGGGCAAATATTTTTTGAAACTTTTCAATTTGTAAAGTCGTAAGGATTTGATTATCGAATTGTTGTTCTATATTGCTAGACTCTATATTTTCAAGAGGAGATTCTTCTTTCTCTAATGTTTCTTTTAATTCTAACTCATAATCGTCATTCGTTTGATAAAACGTTTTAAGCTGATTAAATTCTTTTGCTAACGAATATATTTCCAAATGTGTCTCTAAAAAAATTAAAGAAACTAAAGTATGTGTTAAATCCATTTTTTGAGGGTAATATCCAAAGAAGCAAAGCCCGATAAATAATTTATAAGCATAAAACTGATTAGACTATCGTTGAACAGAGTAAACACAATGTCAAAAATTTCATATGTTATACTGTCACTTCATTCATGCAATTTATTATTAAGGGATGCAAAGCATGCATAACATACATATTCGATAATAATCAAAGCACCTAAACTAAGAATGCTTTTTTGTTTTCAACAAGGATTCTCCAAAGATATGCGACTCTAAGTTCAAATGCTATCTAATTACAATAATTTAAGTGATTAAATCAAACACAAAGCAACTATCATGCTATTGTTAATATTCCAGATTTAACAATTACTATGTGCTTGAATTATCTCTCAAATTTAGTTATAGAAATATGATAAGTCTTCAATCAAGTTATTATTAATATATGGTACTCTTCATTAATGTAATAAATATGACGGATTAAAATGAAATCAGATTAAAATGAAATATTGTACAATGTAAAAAATAGACAAGTCACAGAAAAATAAAAATTTT